TGGTGGGCCGGCCAAAATAGCACAACAGGTGCTGGCATGGGAGGAAGGAGCAAGCCCCATTCAGAGAATGATTGCTTAGGAAGTTTATTTGACCTGGGCCTTAAAGGACTAGGAGTAAGGATAGCACCGTGGGCCACAGGTCAGAAAAGTGCAGTCATGTTGTGTCCTGGTGGCGATATTAGAACCCTTTATCTGGAGAAAACAGCATTAGGGTAGAAGCTCAGATTGAAGGTGTTCACTGGGGTCAGGCCGTGCCAAGCTGTAAAAACCAGGCTGGAACTTGGGGCTTTAGCCAATCATGTGTTAGTATGAAATTGCATTAGAAAATAGTGCTTTTTGGAAATTGGGACTCTTGAGAATTGATTTGGATACTCTGGTTTCTTCTTCATATTGTATAAATCATTTGCCTTTTACTAAAAATTTCATGAAGAATTGAGGCATTAAAAGTCAGAGGTGTAAGAACCCTTACTTCAGATCTTGAACAGGCTCTCTGATGATGAGGGAGGACATTCAGTGTTACACCAGCCTGCTGGAGGAAGTAGACTGGCCCTGCCCCCAGGGCTGGGATCAGGATGAATGCTTTAATAGGGCTGCCGCTTTGCTGGTCCTAGCCCATAGGAGGAGTGACTTACCGGTCAGTGTAGACTGAGCAAGTCTGACATTTCCATGCACACATGTACTTGAAAAAATTGACTTTACAGAGACCAGCCCCATGTAGTGACTTATATATGGCTTGTTGTTGGGTTCTGTAGCCCCATTGGGCTTCATTCTCTGAGGAGAACAGAGACCAAAGTAGGTCCTGATCTGCAGATCCCTTCTATCTCTTTTGTCTCTGTTTTAGCTTTCTCACACACATCAAAGCCACCCTCCATTAGGTTCAGGAGAAGTGGTGGGTTGGGTTACAGACAGGCAGTTGGAAGCTTCCATGGACCCAGGCACAGGCCAGGTCATCCTCTTAGCAAGGAGCTCTGTGCTAGGAATGGTACAACCTTCACTAGTATCCCTTTTGACTCTCTTGTACATTTCCCAACTATTAAAGCTCTAAGAAAAGAAGGCTGTGAGATTGGTAATACCCCCGGACTGCCTTGTCTTCAGAGTAAACAAAGCTCCCTGCTCTTTCTCACCAGTTGTCACCTGTCTCCTTCTTTGCTCTCTTCTTTTCCTCTCAAAACCCCATACCCTGGCAAATTACTAAAAAGCAAGTGCCACAAAGTCTCCTGGGGTGTGCTGTTCCCTCATAGATTTGCGGTTTTCTGAGCAGAATAGATTATGCTGTATGCCCTGCACATTCCGTTACCTTGTGAGGCTTTGGGAAAATCTCATGTAGTATTTAGTTCAGGGGTTTGACACAGAGCGTCTTGATTTGTGAATATTCTCTCTTGGGGGGTGGTGCATAAAGAATTGTCACTGTGGAATGAAAAACAAATCACATAGCATACTCAAGGAAGAGAATGAAGCTGGTACAGTTAGAGTTTTAGGGCAGGACTCAGACACTCAGCTGATAGGCCGACTTGAATATCTAGTCATGAAAATGACTTTCCAAATCACTGTGCTGAAGGAATCATGTTTTAGTTCAGCAAGATCCCCAGGTGATGCACAAGGGTACTTGTGCTTCAGGATCCATCAGCACCACCTGGAGGGCTTGTGAACTCACAGGTTCCCAGGCCTCCCTCAGAGATTCAGATGAGTAGGGCTGAGGAAAAGGGCCACTGATGCTGGTGCTGCCTGGCAACCGCCCTCCTTTGCCCTCTAGCTTCCCCTGAACTAAAGGTTTTCCACCAGACTGCTCAAGCCCATTCCACCTGGCTCTTGGTAACAGGGAAATATCCTAGAGCAGCCCCAAATTGCACACTTGGCCAGAGTTTCATGGGACAGGTCGGTGATCAGGCTGTGCCTCCAGAGTAGCCCTGGACATGGGGACAGCCAAGGCAGGTTGTCTCTGGACCCAGTGCTGGGCTCAGAGGAGACACTCCTGACCACTGTCCAGTAGGCTGACCCCACTGGAGCCTGGGCTTCAGTCTAGTCTTGAAATTCTTAATCAGAGAAGCCTGAGGCTCCTTGTTCTGTACTCCTGTGAAGTCAGAACCCTGTCCCTGCCTCTGCCAGAGTCTACCCACTTATCCTGGGGGACTCCACCAAGAGCCCAGGGAGGGCTCTTCCCTTAGATGCCCAGCAACTCTTAGGAAGAATGAGCCTTTCTAATGGAGACACAATGCTGATGCCGAGGGCACATACCACCTTCCCCCCTCCCCCCGCCCCCCGGGCAATAATGGGTTTGAACGCAGGACCTTGCACTTGCTCAGGCAAGTGTTCTACCACTTGAGCCACACCCCCAGCCCTTCCTTTTTTGCTTTAGTTGATTTTTTTTTTTCCTCTCAGGTAGGTTCTTGGCTTTTTGCCTGGGCTGGCCTCAGACCATGGTCAGCCTACCTGTGCCTCCCACACTGCTGACATTGGAGGCATGAGCCACCTTGCCAGGCCTCCATACCCACCAGGGCTCTTCTTCAAAAACCACAGTATGGGTTTCTAGAATTTTTCTAGCAATAAATAAGAAAAAAAAAAAATGTTAACTCTCCCATCAGTGATGTTACTGTTTAATTAACCTACTTTAGATTCTTTTCTCAATTCGGTATATTGGGGCCTTTGTTCTTTAGTCTTAAAATTTTCAGCATATAAAGTCTGAAGCGTCAAATCATCATTTCTCAGAACATATAGTTTCCAAGGCTTAAATTTTAACCATATGTGTCCAACCTGGGTTACATAATGAAATCCTGTCTCAGAAATTTTTTTTCTTAACCTCTGGCCAAAGGCATATGGACAATAAAAGATGGACAAAGGTTGTACATGTCATTTACATAAAATGCAGTCAAATCAACCCTGTCCCTTGAGCCATGAAGTTATGTTTCTCTGTGTCAGCCCACACGTTACATCAGTATGTAAATTACCTAAGCAATTGTAGGCATAAAATTAAAAGGTTAAACAAACTTGGTGCAATGGACGTTACCGGATTTTGGTAAAGATGTGTTTTTGACAAGTGTGCCTTTTCAACTTGATTTGACTCAGCACTTAGCAGAAGAAAAGAGCAAGGCATCCAGAAACCTGTATGTGGTGAGTGACAGGTCAGAGGTTATGCAGCGTTTAGTTCTTGGCTTTTGTAGCCCTGCACCTCAAAAGTTAGGGCATTTCCCACAGTTAGAAGGAAAAAGCTGAACAGAAGATATTGACAGCTTAGGTCCCTAGTTTTAATGGTTGTCCCTCAAACATCATTTATTTCTTTTAAAGTTGGAAGGAGGATGTATCCAGGTATATCAGTTGGAAGTATTTTATGTAAAAACACAGCTCAAATTAGCTTTAAAAATAAAATGTACTTATTGACTGATGTTACTGAAGAGTCCACAGGCAGAGCCAAGCCCAGTGTGGTTTAAGCAAGTAGTAAGTACCAGGTAGACAGAAGCAATAAGAACCAGGTGAACAGAACCAGCTTCCTTTCTCCTCCTGTCAAGGTGGCCACTAATGCGACTGAGACTGCATCATTCCTCTTCCAGATTCTTATGAAGGCAAAGTTCTTTGTTCCACCATTCCCAGTAGAGGTCCAGGTGCTTGGCTAAACTGATTACCATGAATAGGGGAAGGGAAGCGCCTCTTGATGCAGGCCTGGGTCAGAGCCCAACCTAGAACCAACCCACATGGTAGGCCCTGGAGGTTCTGGCATAAACTACAGACCTACCCTTTATCAGCAGAGGTGGTCTTAACAGTGTGTCCAGGACAAAGCGTGTCCATACACATAACTCTCGGATCCTCAGGGCAGGGGGGAATTCCCCAAACCTGCTGCCTTTACCTGTGGCCTAGAGTGGGAATGGTTTAGAGGCGAATGTGTCTGAGAGAAGGAGCAGGTAAGGAGATGAGGAAGAAGCTGTAGGCCTGCCTGGCTTTTGATTGAGGCGTGTTTAGAGTGATTTGACATGGGCATATCCTCCACCAGCATCTTCATTTGAATTAGCAAGCTGACTGATCTCCTTGAGAATCCATTTAGGATTTCTGTTACGAAAGTAGGCTTGAAAGTTTAACCTCAAGTCAGAACACTCTCTCACAAGTGCTGGAGGTACGAAATGTTAGATTTGTATCTCCAGGTAGTTACTATATATATCTCCACACTATTATGGAAATTACATGAAACATAAGGAAAAGGTGTGCACTGATGAACAGGGTGTGCATTAATATAAAATATTTCCCCGTGGGCATGCTTACCAATGGAAACGTACATTCATATAATGTTCTAATAGTAATAATTCTAGAAATATAGTTAGGCTCTGAGCAAAGAATTAAGTAATATCTTGAATGTTTAAAATAGAGCTGATTGTGAGACACCAAATAAATATAGTTTGGGAAATGCAAAACGGAAGCCTCTAATTTAGTGCTTGATTCATATCTTAAGTATTTGGTGCTGACCAAGCACCAGTGGTTCACACCTGTAATCCTAGCAAGTCAGGGCCGAGATCAAGAGGAGCATGGTTCCAAGCCAGCCCAGGCAAACAGTTCATGAGACCCTGTCTCAAAAACATCCGACACAAAAAAATGGGTGGCAGAATGGCTCAGGTAGTAGAGCTCCTGTCTAGCAAGTATGAAGCCCTGAGTAGTGCAAAAAAAAATTTTTTTTAAAGTACTTGGTCATGAATGAATAATTTTTTGGTGTAAATTTATGAAGTTTCACATACGGTATGATTGTCTAGACTTTGTCTCTTTCAGTCTAAAAAGTGATTTCAGCAGATTCTCTTATTACTCTTTTCTGCTTGCCAGCCAGAGTTTGCACAATGAAAACAATGTGTGTCATGAGTCATTTGCATATAAATCCTGACAAGCTCAACTCAAGGCTATAAAAATTAGAAGCTTACAGAAGATGGGTTGGGTCACAAAATAAACACAGTTCACACATCTGGTAATCATGTAATCACATGTTGTTCACTTCTTGTATTTCTGATCTTTTTTTTTTTTTTTCCCAGAACCGAATGGAGGAAAGCAAAGCACTCTTTAGAACAATTATCACATATCCCTGGTTCCAGAACTCCTCGGTTATTCTGTTCTTAAACAAGAAAGATCTTCTAGAGGAGAAGATTATGTATTCCCACCTAGTTGACTACTTCCCGGAATATGATGGTAAGTGTGCACTCCTCCGCCAGCCTTGGCATGCAGGGCTGGACCTGCCAACACTGGGCAATTGCTCTGAGGCTACAGAGGCTGTGTGTGCAGACTGGAGTACAAGTTACTGCTGGTGCTCTGCCTTGTAAAGACATACAATATTTTATTTCTTAATGCAAAAAAGACACCGGGGATTAAAAAAAAAACCCTTCTGATATGTTTTGAAATAAACAGATTCAAAGAAGAAGTAATTCAATGGTTTTGCCCAGCTGTGTATCACTAGTACAGTTTCCTCTCTCTTTCTCTCTTGAACTTTTTTACAACCCCTCTACCTCTCTAGGGAGAAGAGACTGAAGTCAGTCTACCCAGGTTGGAATCTCAGTTCTAGTACTTCTTTACTACTTGCAGAACCGCGAGCCAAGTCACTTGATTTTTCTGGGCCTTTGGACCAAGCTCATGAGATTGTTTTATAGATGATAACAGACACATATGTGTGGCATTAGCATGGTGCTTGACACATAGCGAATTTTCAGGAAACATTTGCTTTGGGGAGACTTCGTGGCCAAGTGAAGCCCCCTCCCATCCTTAGACTCGTGGTACAGCACTTAGGATCTGCAGCACCACTTCAGTCCTCTGTGGCACTGCATTGTTTACTTCACCCTTCGAAGTTGATCTGGCCTTCCCTAACTGTACTCTGAAATTCTAAACTGGACAAACAGCCAGTCAGAGACATACGGGGGACTGATTGACAATGTGTATCCACATCAGCCTCTCTGAACAGATGAGTCATGGCCTCTGCCCTGTATTAATTTTAACCTAGATTAGGAGGGGGCAAAGCCTGGCCTGCCACCTGGTTTTATAAATAGTTTTATTGAGGCACAGCCACACCCATTCTTATGGCTGTTTTCACTCTGCAGCAGAAGTGGGAAGTTGTGAGAGAAATTGAATGGTCAACAAAGTCTAAAATAGTTAGTCCCTGCCCTTTTACAGAGAGAGTTTCCCAAGCCCTGGTTCAGATGGTAATTAAGAGCACGCACTTCAAATATCTCGGAACTTTGCTCTGCCACTTACTAGCTTATTGCCTTAGACAAATTTATTTAATACCATTTGTTTCTTCCTGAGTAGAAAAGGATTGCGTGGAGTTATATGTATATCACTTAGCATAGCACGTAACACAAAGAAGAGCCAAACCCCAAACTACTGGTTATGGAGGTGTTTATATATAACCGCAAGAGAAACTGATTGTTTTTGGAGGGAGGGCACTAGTGGAATTTGAACTCATGGCCTTGTGCTTACCAGGCAGACTCTCTACCCCTTGCTCTTTTTGCTTTGAGTTTTCAGATAGGGGCTCACATTTTTGCCTGGGACTGGCCTCTGATGTGATCCTCCTATCTATGCCCCCCAAATACCTGAGGTGACAGGCACACACCACCTTGTCTGGCCAAGAAGTGACTATTTTTTGAATTACATCAACATAGGATATACAGGATGGATATCAGTTCAATAGTGTTTTGTGCTCTGAAAGCTCCCTGGGAAAGATACCTCTTTAAAAAGTAAGAATTACTTTGGCGTTACCAGTTTCCAAGAAGATACAAACATATCAGGGCCAGAGATGCAGGCATCCTTTCATTCCTCATGCATTATGCATGGTGCTGTCTCATGGAAGTGAAAGACTGTATGTTCATGAGCCCATGCTTATACAAGAACCTGCAAGTTAGCAAATTAGATCTACACGCTTCTGGGTGTTACCAGGCATTACAGATAGTGCCTTTTTCTGTTAGCAGTGTCTTCACGTCTTCTCTCCAATTACATTGTTCTTTTCAAAACAAATGCTTTCTTAGCCTAAATGGCGTTTTCTTTTTCACTTCTTTTAATTTGCCACTAATCTGGAAGCAAGTCATAAGCCGTCTAAGACTGTGTTCCTCAGGGTTCCTGAGGAAGCTGTGGAGTGTGTAGGTTACCTGATCTCACACACCCAAGAGGATACTCCTGGTTTTTCTCAGAATCTGGTGACAATCACTGGACCGAAAATGACCATGCCATACACAGCATTGAGCCCTGTGGACCTGTGTGTTTTCCTTCCAGGCCTGCCTGAGAAGAGATAGCCCCCCACTTCAGCCCCCAACGGGAAGGCTACTTAACTACAGTAGGCAGAGCTACACCTCATGGTGGTTGATTGTTCTGTGATGGGTGCTCGTGGGACTGATTGTTTCTCTCTGCAACATCTTTCTAATCTTTACATTATCTCCTCTGGCCAATACTTTCCCCACATTCCCCATACTACCAGCATTTTCCTTCCAATGTGTGCCTATTGTCAATGTTTTTAAGTTTGAAGATATTTTTAATTGTTACCCTCCCACAGTATAAACATAATGCCCATAGGAAATGTGGCCACAGGAAAAGAAAAAAGACATTGATTTTGTTATTCTCAAAGCAAAAGCAGCTGTCATTCCACAACTCTCAAAGCCGTTGTTAGATGAGCTAAAACTGAAAAACATCGAGGCCTGCTCTGCAGTGATGTTTTTGCAATAAGTGTGTTTATGGTGTTATAAATTTCACACTTCCACATTTCTGCACTTAACAAGGTCTTAATCATAATGAATGCCATCTCTGTGTTTCTCTTCGGGAAGGGAAATTACCATTTCCACATGGACTTGAACTGCAAAATTGTTCATAGGGACTGTGGAAATCTGTTTCTGCTGTGATGGATGTAATGATCTCTTTGTAGCTTATGTTTATTCAAACAACATAATCTATGCTTAAAAACATAACGCAGTCCAAGTGTAATTCAGTGAACTTGAATCTAGTTCTGATATTCTTCAGGATTTAAACCAAAAAAAAAAAAAAAAAAAAATCCTTCCTTCCTAAATAGGTTAAGTACAAATCAAAGCCAGAATAGGGAAATACAGCTTTTATGGAAATGACAGGCTTTAACAGTCTATTAGTTTCTGGTTTTAGATATTTTTAGTACTGTTCTGCAACTATTAGGTGAGATTAACATTGAAAAAGACAGACTATTAAATATGTACCTGTAACATTTTAATAATTGTACATAATGTTGGGGAGGGGGGGGTTGGTTTTTTGATGTTTGGGGGTTTTTTTGTTGTTGTTGTTTTCCTTTTGGCAGCTCTGGGGTTTGAACTCGGGGCTTTGCACTTGCAAGGCAGGCACTTTACCACTTGAGCCATACCTCTAGCCCTTTTTTTGCTCTGGTTATTTTTGAGATAGGGTCTCACTTTATGCCCAGGCTACCTGGACCTCGATCCTTTCGATTTCAGCCTCCCTCATAGCTGGTATGATAGGCTTGTGCCACTGGCGCCCAGCTTATCTTAACTTTTTGAGGAACTACCAACTCCTTTCAAGAGAGGCTGCACCATTGTGCATGTACGCTGGAGGTACACTGTCGCCTTTTGAAGGAATGTCAGTTTAAGCCTTTTGTCCTTGTTTTAATTGGGCTGTGTGCTTTTTGTTGGTGGTCGTTGTTCTTATATAGTCTACATGCTCAACCCTTATCACATTGATTTGCATAAATTTTCCCCTGTTCTCTGAGTTGATTTTTTTTTCATTTTCTTGGTAATGACTTTGATGAACAAAAGTTTTGTTTTTATTTTGATGAAGTCTAATTTATTTTTTCTTTTGCTACCTCTGCTTTGATGTCAGATATCTAAGAATCATTGCAAAATTCTTACAGAAATTTCTAATTTATCCAAATAAATACATCAATACTCCCTTTTCAAAGTGTCTAGGGAATGCTAGGGACATAGAAGACCCCAAATAAAAGTAAGAAAATGCATATCAATTTTTTTTTATCATCACACATAGTAAACTGAATGCCATGTAAAGAGTCTGTAGAAGTGAGACTACAGAGGACCATTGGTGCTGGAACCAAACTTAAGGAACAAGTTCTACTTGCAGTGAGATTTCAATCTGGAGACTGTGAAATGACCCATAGTAGAAAGATTGACGGAGAGCCTGAGGCAGCTCCGTCTGTGTGCACACTTTTTATAGAACTGAACCAGTTAACCCAGTGGAACAGAAGGAAGGTACTACTCCCTCCTGAAGAACCTGCGCTGTGGCTCTCTATCAACAAAAGAAAGTGAAGAAGTAGCTATACTGGCTTTCAAGTAGTCTGTCTGTTTGCACATATCCATATTTTGTGGATGGATGGATGGATGGATGGGCAGGTTGATGAATGGACAGACAAGTGAACAGACAGGCATGTAAAGTGACAAAAAGGAGATTTCTACAAAGTAGTGTAGGGAGCATCATTATAATAGATCAAAGGTATTAAGGCATAATAAATGTTTACTGAATAAATGAAGGATGCATTAATGGGTCAAGTAACAAACTACCCCTCTGCTCCTTTGGCCATAGGACCCCAGAGAGATGCCCAGGCAGCTCGAGAATTCATCCTGAAGATGTTCGTGGACCTGAACCCAGACAGTGACAAAATTATCTACTCCCACTTCACGTGTGCCACAGACACCGAAAACATCCGCTTTGTCTTTGCTGCAGTCAAGGACACCATCCTCCAGTTGAACCTGAAGGAGTACAATCTGGTCTAATTGTGCCTCCCAGAAACCTGCCCTTCCCTTCCCTGGTGGGCTATCGCAGATATACAAGAGGGACTGTATTTCTGTGGAAAACAATTTGCATAATACTAATTTATTGCCGTCCTGGACTCTGTGTGAGTGTGTCCACAGAGTTTGTAGTAAATATTATGATTTTATTTAAACTATTCAGAGGAAAAACAGAGGATGCTGAAGTACAGTCCCAGCACATTTCCTCTCGTTTTTTTAGGCAAAACTGTGTGACTCAATGTATTTTAAATTTTCAGTCATGCACTCACAAAGATAAGAGTTGTTTCTTTCTCTTTTTCTCTTTTTCTTTTCTATTGAGCAAAACAAACCTGATTTCCCTTTTTTTCCTAGCCCATACCTCCCTCCTGGTTCCCCACCCAGAGAATAACGGCCTTTATCCTACTTCGATTCTTGGTCAAGTTCTCTTGAATGATGCAGTCAGGACGGTGTCATTCCACTTAAGCCATCCTATGTTAGTTTAGTTCAACAATTTGTAGTTTTTGCTGAAGGGTGATGTGTATTACTGGTATGGTTTCAAATGTATTGCTCTGGATACACATCTAGTGTTTCTTTTTTAATATATGATATTGTTTTATCTCCCTTTGGTGTGGGACAGTGGATGCCCACCAAATGGTTGTGTCATTTCTTTTGGGTTTTGACCTTCAGCCATAGTTTGATCACTCAGAGAAAGGCACAGAAGTCAGAGGCAAGAAAAGACACACAGAAGGAGTCTTTTCTTTGGAAATTGATGTGCCATTGTTCTTCCTTCTACCTGCTCCTCTTTTTTTTTTAACCCTCTCTTTAAATTGCAGATGCCAAATAATAAGCCAACAGACACTACATTCCCCCAGAGGCTGCTACCAGAACCTTTTTCTTTTGGTTCCAACTTTTCTTCCTCTACCCTTTTTTCCTTTGTATTTGGGCCATAATCTTTAAATGATTTTTATTATGGGAATATGTTGCCAAAGCTGGCTTTTTATAAAACAGAATGAATTAAGAAGTGCTTAAACCATAAAAGTCAGCATCTTAAAATGTAAGAGAGTAAGACTGTGAAGCCTGCGGTGACTGGCTGAAAATGAACCTGAAATACCAGCTGCCAGACACCTGGTGGCTGTACATGTGATTCTCATGGTCCATTCTTTCCTGAGCCCTCAAGGGCACATTGTCTAGTGCCCACATCCCAGGCTGAGGGTCCAAATCAGCAGTGTAGAAAAGAATCCCGTGTGGTTCGTCGGGTATTTGTTTGTCTCTTTATCTGAAGCCCGTGTTCTTTAAGTTCAAGTAAGTCTGCCAAGAACCTTGGTTGGTAGTATTAGCCTTACACCTTTCATTTGCAAAAAAGTCACTGCTCTTTTACCACCTTTTACGATTTTCTTGAACTATTGACTGGTTGAATTGAACTTAAGGAAGATTTTGTAGACTTCACTCAAAAGTAACCTCTTAGTGTTCTGTCATACATGTGTTTATGTAACTGAACCTACTCAGAGAGACATTTGGTATTCTATGTATGCAATTTTTTCAACAAGTGCAAAAAAAATAAAAAATCCCAGCACATGATCCATGAGCTCTGTCAAGCAGCTTATGTTGAAATGTGATTTAAGCTGATAAATCACAATTATTTTAAAAGCTGCTGGGAAGTAAGAACTAGGCCATGATACTGGTCTCAATACTATTTGGCCCTAGTCTAAACTTTCATATCACTTTTGGGAAATAACAAAGAGGGGCGGGAGAATTAACAGCTTGTTAGATGAGCAACAAAGTCACTGAAGAGTAATGAAGGATTCTCATTCTTTACTCTCCTGGTCTTAAACAGCACAGGTTACTTTTTTTTTCCTTGCTCAGAAGGCACCTGTAATTTAATTAATAGACCGTAGGTATAGTGCAATTCTGAATGCTCTAATCATTGTACATACATCTCTCGATATTGCAACATCCATTATGGCTTTGTAATCATTACTTTTTGGCAGATTGAATGTGCTGTATTGATATGTATCTATGTAATTGTATGTCTTATAGCTAATTCCCATTTTGAATAATGTTATTTTATTTACTTTTTTAAGAGAGGAGAATGTAAATTTGTCAGTTTATTTCTGACTAGGGATATTTTTTTCCATTTAGAAAAGAAAAAAAAAAAACCTTACTGTCATACAGAGCGGTACTAGCATCGTGCTGTATAAAATCATTTGCACATTCCTGAGTAGAGGTATACTGATTATATGACCCAAAGGTAATTTCATAGCAAAATACATAAAATCAGTCGGAGCTTTTATACAAACATGGAAACCAACTTTGTAGCACTTTTGCCATTTGATCTAGGATTGGAATATGAGCTTTTATACAATTCATATTCTTCTTTGGCAAATGCAGTTAGTATTACCTCTCTGATGGCCTTTATTAGAAAGGCAGTTTTAGAAGCTATTGTGACCCACTAAGGAAATGTTTTAACAGCTAGAGACCACTGCTTGCCTGAAAGGGCAATCTTAAATTTGGTGCAGCAAAAAACAAACAAACAAACAAAAAACAAAAACAAAAAAAAAAGAAAAAGAAAAAACAAGAAAAAAAGTAAACAACATTTGATGGCCTACAGTGTGTAATAGAGAAAACCTCATCACAAGATCATAAGTGTTACAGTTTTAGGGAATCAAGATATTCTATTTAATAGAGCTATAGTAAACATAACTGATTAACCCTGATCTCAGAGCTCAAAGAAGCTTCGCAAAGCAGAGAAAGATGGTTATATTTGTCTTTATGAAATTGGGGTGAAATTTGCTATGCAGAATTGAGGTTTGTGGCTTCACTGCCCATTCTGGGGTGCATGACAGGCTCCCTTCTTTTGAGAAAGGAAAAAATTGATCACCCTAGCCGCAGTGATATGTAGAAACCTAATTGTATCCACACTAGTCAATTGAAGCTAAAAGGATTTTTGTTGTTGTTGTTTCTTTGTTTGGGGTTTTATTGCAGGGGCTAGGGGCGGGAAGGGATTCTTTTCAGTTTTGTATAAAAACAAAGTTTACTCCTGCTTTCTATTCTATCGTGATTGCAAGTTCTGCGGGTGCCGCCTGGGCTCCTGTTGATGCTCCAGGTGATGGAGGTTGGTGGCCAGTTTGTGTCATGGTGACTTGGCATGTCTTATTCAAAACAAAAACACCACACACAGAAACCTTTCTTCTGCATACCAAGGCAAGCAGCTGTTTCATGACTCACACAACACATCGCAGTGTACCAGTTTACAGATGATTCCCGCTCCCCCCCACTTTTTTTTTTTTTTTTTTTTGGTGGGAAGTGGCAGTTCCAACCCACAGAGAATTCCTTATGTGTAAATTGGAGGTTTATACTATGCCTTACAGAGCTTAAATTGAGAAGATTGTGCCTCATATCTGAAACAAAGGGAAATTACACACCCGTTCAGAAGTTAGTAAACCCCCTGCAAACTACTGGGCGTTTTTCTTTGTTATCGTTTCTGAATAAAGAGCTCTGTGGAATGTCATGAACAGACTGGAAAAAACTCTTCTTAGGAACCTGCATATGTTGTTTACTAGCAGATGACATCCACAAAAGGTATTTGAAAAACACCTGAAGCTTGTACTTGTTTTTCTTTTTTGGTAGATTAGCAGGCCTAATATTTTTAAGAGGTGATTCAGCTAAAGGGCAATTTAGTTTTTGTACTTCAGACTCTCTTGATTGTCAAGGTATACGAACTGTAATTTACAGATTTATACTGCCACATGACTGTACATTTTAGTTGTCTTAAGTTAGGAATTGGTGAAAAGCTATTTATGCTGGATTTGGGTCAAAATGACTATTATTTGCAAAAAAATAATAATGGGAAGAAAGGGCTGTGTAATGAGATTCTGCAGGACTGAGATATTCGTTGGAAATTCCCCTGAGATCCCTCTCAGATAACCCTCAATTTCCCTTTGTTTTCAGTTTCTCAAAAAGAACGAATGAAATGAAATATAGCAGAATGTTAACCCTTATAAAAATAAAGTGTACCCAAATATTGTAATGTATATTGCTGCTCTTCTTAAAATTAAATAAGGGTTTCAAACCACATAATTGGTAATGAACAACATCTTGATATAAATAAGGTGTGCTTGGTATACATTCACATTTTCTCCCAAAGAGGTTCTTTGGTTAGAAACACACAAAATTAAAACTAATAATATCATATGTTTATATATCTCTACATACTTCCAGCATATGTAGCATTAATAGATCTGTCCTGGTACCTGTGTCTTTGGTATTTCATTTTGATTCCATTCAATTAGGAAAAGAATTGGCTTAGTTGTATGTGATTAGCTAGAGGTTTCTGGAGCCAGACACTTGCTGTTTAGTAGATAACTTAGTGCAGAGTCTAAACTTGTCATTTGTTTTTCTTATGGAGTAACAAACCATTTCCCTCTGTCTTCCCATCTGCCCCGCCCACCAGTAACACTTGCCTCTAGAACCATATGTTCGAAGTATGCATACACACCTGGCGCATAGTAGGTGCTCAGATATTCATTTCCTCCTTATCTTCCTCCTCTACCGTGGAGCCTGCCTTCCCCCCAAGTTCCAGTCCAAAGGTTACTGACATTTACAGTTTACCAAATTTGCATCTAACTTGGATAAAGGAATCCTGACTTTCATAGAAGCTTTTGGTGGGGGGAAAAAATAACAGGAAGGTATGCATCAGTAGGACATTTTTAAGTTTAAGAAAGAAAGATGGAAAATTACCATGTAACTTTGTCCAGGTTACTTTGATTGAAACATGTTTTTGGTGGTTTTCTTTTCTGCAAAGAACTCTCTAAATGCAACTTCTGCTGGATTCCTTACTCATTATCATGTTGGAAACCCTGACTAGACCTATGTATTTAGGGAGTTTTGTCAGAAAAACATTTTTAACTTGCAGTATTTAAAAGAATCATATTTACTGTTCTTAAAATGTCATTCAAATGCATGTATTGTCTATTGTTTGGGGTTGGGAACTAGTTTTGCAAAAAACACCTACTGTTGTATAATAACGCCCCAATGATCTTGCTGGTTAAAAATACAGTATTTTTGGCCATAATCTTGTACTAGAGCATTCTTCTTTCTTGAGTTTTGCTTCCCTTGAAGTTGCCTCAGTCCCTCTCAGACTGTTTTTTATTCTAAGGAATTACGAATACATCTTTGCTTCATTAAAACACTTTACAGGACACATGCATTTTGCAAAATAAGTAGGTTAATGGTTCTAAGACGCACACAAACCTTTTCCCACTTACATACAATCAGAAATGTCAGTCTCCTGAAGTGGATATATAGTTAGTATTTATCATATTTGCTGTTTTTAAATTTTTGCCCTAATTTAAGTTATAACCAACCGTTTAAAAAAATGCTGGATGCAGTGAGGCACGTCTATAATCCCAGTTACTTGTGAGACAGAGATCAGAAGGATTGTGATTTGAGGCCAGCTCAGGCAAAAAAACTAGTGAGACCCAGTTTCAGCAAACAAGCAGCATGGCAGGACACACCTGTATTCCAGTTATGTGGGAGGGGTAGGTAGGAGGATTGTGGCCATAAGGCCAGCCCTATGCAAAAAGGATGAAATCCTATCTGAAAAATGACTGATGAAAAAAGGGCTGTAAGCATGGCTCAAGTGGTAGAGCACCTGCTCTGCAAGTGCAAGGCCCTGAGTTCAAACCCCAGTACCACCAATAAAAAGTAGCTGCCCACTGCAGGCATACCAGAAGTGGCAGGTCCACAACCCAAGGGTGCTTCGTGATGAGGAAAACCTGCGGCCACAGCAAAAAAGGTGAGGGTGGATTCAATGCTATAGAACAACTATGGCCCATTCGATGATGTGTGCGGAGCGATTCTCATGGTGAACCGCCCGCTTCTTGGTTTTCTGTGTCTAACTTTAAATCATTACCACACTCATACTTACCAGTTTTCCCATATGTAAAGTCTTTACTGAAATCAGAGCAGGGTTGGAGAGTAGAAGGTAGTGGATAAGAGCCAGCTTCTAGCTTATTAGTTTTGTCTTAAATTGCCTATTCATTTCCACCTTTCCTTTGTTTCACTACCAGGGTTAACTAAAGAATAGTCCCAACTGTTAGAAGGAACCGAACACAATCTATTTTAATGGTGCCCACTCCAAATAGGTCCCTGGTTATAAAATGTAGGTCTCTTTAAAATCTTTTAAAAGTTTCAGTCTGAGTGCTAGGCTACATTTCTGTAATCCCAGCTACTCAGGAGGCTGAGATTGGGAGGATCAAGGTTCAAGGCCAAAAAAAAAAAAAAAAAAACCCACTATCAAGACCACATCTCAACAGTTAAGCTGGCCATAGTGGCATGTGCCTGTGCACCCAGCCATGTGGAAGATGTAGCTAGGACAGGTGGTCCAAGCTGGCCCCAGGCAAACCACAAGACCCTATCTTAAAAATAACCTAAAAGCAAAAAGGGAGGAGGAGTGGCTCAAGTGGTAGAGTGTTTATCCGAGCATAAAGCCCTGGGTTCAAACCCCAGTACTACCCAAAAAATAAAATTCAAGGTGTTGAAACTTGATCTGTGCTAATTTTCTCCCTTCCTGTTTTCCTCAAGCATGCATATCAAAGACCAAACTATCTTTCTGGCCCATAAGCCTGAAGAGAAAATAAGGCAAATTGTCCTCTTTAAGAAAGTAATTGCACAGCCCCATGTTTTCAGAGGTGAGTGACAGGGTTCCCTGGTTGCATGTCCCACGCAGCCTGAGGGGAGGTATTTTTGCCACTCAGAGGACTGGGCCTGCCTGATAGAGAGGGACGGCTTGACATGAGGACCCTGTATCTCCCAGTCAGCTCTCAGTTTGTTCATTTCCTTGGATGGTAGACCTTTGGACAGCGTTAGTAATGAAAAGACCAGGAAAAGACAGGTGGCCATGCAGGGCTTGGCAAGTCCCAGACATCTGAAAGCGGGACCTCTGCCCTGTGACCTGTGGCCAAGAAGATTGTGTGTGTGGTGCAGCAGGAACCCCGCCCCACTAACAGATGGTCCCCACATGGCCTCAGCTCAGGCACACCTGAGGCGTAGGTCCCACAAAGAGTTGGAACACCAAAGTTTATATTCTGGGGTCAGAGCCACCTTCGAAAAAGGGGCCTACTTTCTTTGTGGGAGTTACAAAAAACCCATTCCAATGACATCCTGGTGAATGGGTGGTGGGATTACAGAGTTGTGGCACTGGTTTTTAATGTATTCAGGATGACTTCAAGGGTGGTCCTGCCATGCCTGATTTTAACCTACCAATGTGACCAGGTGCTAACCACTGGCTCTCTCATTTGCTCTGTAGGCCAACCTTGGAACCTTAAGGCACAGCATTTCTACAAACCTGGAAAATGTCCACAAGCCAGGCCTACCTGACATGTAGCCTCCAAAGTCTGACCATCCCTCCTTCTGTGACTTGGAGCTAATTAGCAAAAAGCTAACTGGCACCCTGTTGGGCTCAAAGAAGTAACTGCTGTGCCAGAAATGTGAAATACGTAGACTCGAGGAATGGCAAGAATGGATAGCCAGGTACTTGGAGCTGAGGAGTAAGAATGCAA